GATCCAATGAGACCACTCCTTAAAATGAGTACGTGAGACTCAATCTTAGCCACTCATTTTGTCTAGGTCAAATTCAATTAAAATATACACTAATTAAATAATAAATAATTATTAGTTGACTCCGGCGTTGACCGTTGACTCCGGCGTTGACCGTTGACTTCCGACGTTGACTTCCGGCGAGAATCGTTGACTTCCGGCGTTGACCGTTGACTTCTGGCGTTGACCCGTTGTATTGAAATAAATAACCTAGCAACAAAAGACACTCAACCTTGAGTGGTGTAGTGGTTGCATTGCTTGTCTTGCCTCCATGAGGTACCAGGTTCAAATCCTATGGGTTACAATTTTTTTATAAAAAAAAAAATACAACTAACTTAGCAACATCAAACAACTAACCTAGCAAAAAAACACAACTAACTTAGCAGCATCAGACAACTAACTTAGCAACAAAACACAACTATCAACTAACCTAGCACCATCAGAACTAAACTAGCAGCAACACAACTAACCTAGCACCATCAGACAACTAACCTAGCAGCAAGAAAGAAATAACCTAGCAACAAAAGACAACTAACCAACAAACACAACTAACCTAGCACCATCAGACAACTAACCTAGCAGCAAGAAAGAAATAACCTAGCAACAAAAGACAACTAACCTAGCAGCAAGAAAGAAATAATCTCAACTAACCTAGCGACACGAAAACTCATGCTCCCTCTCTCTCTAAAAATTTTTCTCTACCTTCTCTCTAGAATCCATCAAACAAATTCAAAACAAAACATTCGGTCTTGTCCAGTTTTCCGGCTACCGGTAAACCGGCGCCGGCGCAGGCCGGACCCCGGTCATCATCTACCTTTTGCACCATACCCAAACACACTCATTTAATTTTTCAGCCTTTAACCTAGTTAATTTTTAGTCCGTTTTCCTCTTTTCTCGACCACATATGGCCTCCCCGACAACTTCTCCGGCCAAGAGACAACAAACATTTTCAATCCAAGCTTCGGATTTGGAAAACCTTATGTCTCAGACGGAATTTCGTCAAATTCTCTCCGACTTTCTCGGAAAAAATATCACCAATAATAAACAAAAAGAAGATAGCATAGAAGAGGGTGAAATTGTTGAAAGTGCTATAATCAAATTGCATCCAGCACCAGAACCCTCGTCTTCAAATATTAAATCTGGAGCGGACCAGTCGGAGGTCCCTCTTGGGCCGAAAGCAGAAAACAGCGTCCAAAAAAATGGACACATCGAACCATCGATCGTGTTCGGATCGTATGCTCCATCGCGCAAGCTCGGGCCCTTGGAGAAGACGACCTCCGCCGGAATTTCAGAGGCTGCTCTGGAGGTTTACAGTCGGAACTTCCATCGTCAGATTTGCCTTCGCCGGTCAACCCGACCTTCACTATGGGAAACGGCGCCTCAGAGGACTCGCTTTCGGAGATGCCTTCGACGGTCAACCCGAGATCCAATCTGGGAAACGGCGCCTCAGTAGACAAAAACCCTCAGCTTCTCTTACAAGTTGAACCAATTCTGACAAATCACGTGGAAGATAAGTCCACATCTGGGCCAACCCATCTCATCCCATTTGGGCCTAATTCCCTCCCAACTCATGAGCCCGCCTCCTCTAATCCTCAACCCACCAACATACTTCACATTTCCCCCTTTTTGGGCCTACCGATTGTTGGACCCTCTCAACCCTTTTCTCAGGCCCATCTCTCTTCAACCCACTCAATCCTCCTCCCTCAGCCCTCTGTTAACCACCAGTCCGCATCTAAAAAACCTTCTCCATCCGCCACTCAACATCATCAATCCACCGTCGACAGCCCACCAACTTTCACCGACCACCTGAACTTCGCCGGCGCCGGCACAGCCCCCGAAAGACCACAGCCGGCCGGCAACCCATCAGGGGAGGTTCCGAATTTGAGTTCTACGGCGGGAATTCTTGGCCCTCATCCATATTGACACTCTTTGAATGACCAAACCGCCGGAAAAACCACACCTAATGCCGTAGTCTCTGAACCGGCCGCTTTGCTTATACGAGAGGACGGTGTGATTGTTGCGAGGCCGAGCTCGGCACCCGCGGGCCAACTAAACGGCCTCTCCCCGACCGAGGCAACACAAATGGGTGCCGCAACGGCCAACCCCGCCACAACAGGGACCCCTCTGGCCGTAACCACGGGCCCACTCTCTTTCCGGGAGGTTGTTACGGGGAAGAAAAATGTTCACACGGCCGCCCCGCGTCCGGCGGCCAAGGATTTTGCCTTTGACGGGGGATACGAACATGCCTGCGGAACCATCATCCGCTCGGAGGGAAACAAGGTGAAGGCCCGATACGCTGAAGCCGAATCTGCAGCTCTTGCAGGTAGAGAGAAAAATTTCACTCCTCATCGCATTGGGCAGGCTCACGGCCCGAGACTGGACAGGCTGCACGCCGCCACATCGCTACAAGGTGGCCCCACCACTACCTGTTCGGCCCCCTCGGCCCAGAGCTGTTGTTTGGCTTCGACCTGACTCTCCGTGGGTCAAGCTGAACACTGATGGCTCTTTTGATCGCCACACTGGAGTTGCCGGAGGAGGAGGCTTGATCTGGGACCACAGCAGCGCCCTCATCACCGCCTTCCACGCGTCCCTTCAGGCCTCCTCGAGCTATGATGCAGAGATTCAGGCATTACAGATCGGCCTTCAGATTGCTGTCCACCTCTCCAGCCACATTTGGATCGAGCTAGACGCGGCGACTGTAGCCACCCTTTTGACCTCGGGCCACCAGGGCTCGTGGCAGATTCAGCACCCGCTTATGCGTATTAGAGATCTACTCCGGTCTGTCCATCACAGGATCACGCACATCTTCCGTGAGGGAAACAGACCCGCCGACTATCTTACCAGCCTTGGCGCCACCATACCAGACACACATAAATTCCAGACCGACACTGCTCCACTCCGCCTTCGCACCCTTGTACGGATGGACCAGCTTGGACATCCTGCGTTCCGCTTCCACTAGTTTAGGATTTTTGCTTTCATTAGTATAGACCATTTATTTCGGGCATCTCCTAGCCCGAAGATCGACTATGTATTGTAGTTTCTATTTCCTTTTCGTTTTTCGGTTTTTTTTTGCTTTTGGTTTTTGATTTTGATCTGTGAGACGATGTAGACTATTGTACCTTGATCATTGATATATTGGGCCCCGACCTTGGGGTCCTGATCTATGCACAGGTTGGGGATCCAGCCCAATCCCCCGCCCTTCCGGGGCGTTGTTTGTTTTAAAAAAAAATCTCAACTAACCTAGCAGCAAGAAAGAAATAACCTAGCAACAAAAGACAACTAACCAACAAACACAACTACCTGCTGGGTGAGTTGGGACTCTATCTGCCGCCCTCTCCATGAGGGTGGCCTTGGCATCCGTCGTCTTAGGGATATTGTTACTGCCTTCTCATACAAGTTGTGGTGGCGCTTCAGGGAAGGAAAGTCGCTTTGAGCTCAGTACCTTCGCGGCAAGTACTGCTCTAGACGCGCCAACCACCCTTGTTGGGTGACGGCGGTTGCACATGATAGCAGACAGTGGCGGCGCCTTACTAGGGTTGGTAGGCGCGCCCAGGATCATATTTTTTGGGTTTTGGGGGATGGCGAGGTTAGTTTTTGGGATGAGTGGTGGTTAGGTGATAGGCCGTTGTCTAGAGATAGGCAGGTATCGCATTCCCCCTACCTGCTTGTGCGCGACCTTTGGTCGGACGGGTCGTGGGATAGGGGGAAGCTCGATAGAGAGTTGGGCTTCGGGGCGGGTTTTAGTGAGCAGTTATTAGATAGGATCCAGCAGATACCCATCTCGGGGGATGGTTCGGATGGTATGAGGTGGAGACTTACATCATCGGGTGTGTTTTCTACTACCTCGGCTTGGGAGCAGATCAGGCTGAGAGATCGGCCGAATCTTCTCTTCGGAGCCATCTGGAGCGACCTTTTCACCCCTACCATATCTGTTTTTCTTTGGCGCCTCCTCTTGCGCCGGATACCCATGGACACTGTGTTACATGTGAGGGGGATCTCCTTCCCCTCCCGATGTGTGTGTTGTTCTGAGACCGGACTTCATGAGACCGAGACCTTTACCCACCTTTTTCGAGAGAGTGAGATTGTGAGGAGAGTGTGGGAGCATTTTGCTACTTGGACTCATATATCCCTACCCTCCACAGACAGTTTTTTTGAGCTCCTGAGTTTTTTCTCACAGAGCACACACTTTAGACACGTGAGCTTCCTCATTCCTTGTCTGATCCTTTGGTTCACCTGGACGGAAAGGAATAGTGCGAAGCATAGGGATATTACTTTCTTGCTTTCTCACATTGTTTTGCAGGTGGAGAGACACATTTCGCTCCTCACAGCGTTAGGCAGGATTTCTGCACGTGACTGGACAGGCTGCACGCCACCGCACCGATACAGGGTGGCTCCCCCTCCGCCTGTTCGGTCCCCTCGGCCCAGAGCTGTTGTTTGGCTTCGACCCGACTCTCCTTGGGTCAAGCTGAACACCGATGGATCTTTCGATCGACATAGCGGTACTGCCGGAAGAGGAGGCATGATCCGGGACCACAGTGGAGCTCTTATCACTGCCTTCCACAAATCCCTTCAGGCTTCTTCGAGCTACGATGCAGAGATTCAGGCATTACAGATTGGCCTCCAGATTGCTGCCGACCTCTCTAGTCATATTTGGATTGAGCTGGATGCTGCGGCTGTCGTCACCCTCCTGGCATCGGGTCATCAGGGCTCGTGGCAGATTCAGCACCCACTTATGCGCATTAGAGATATACTTCGGTCTGTCCATTACAGGATCACACACATCTTCCGTGAGGGGAACAGACCTGCTGATTACCTTGCCAGCCTTGGCGCTACCATACCAGACACGCACACGTATCAGATCTACACTGCTCCACTCCGCCTTCGCACGCTAGTCCGGATGGATCAATTGGGATATCCATCGTTTCGATTCTAGTAGATCAGGTTTTTGGTTTTGTTTTTCTTAGACCATCCATTTATCCCGGGCACCTGTTAGCCCGATGACAGACCCTGTACTATTTTCATTTTCTCCTCTCGTTTCTGTTTGGATTGTGAGACTATGTTGAGTGTTTTGGCCCATTTTAGGGCTATAATCTATATACAGGTTGGGGATCATGCCTAATCCCCCGCCTCTCGGGGCGTTGTTTGTTAAAAAAAAAAAAACTAGCAACAAAAGACAACTAATCTAGCAGCAAGAAAGAAATAACCTAGCAACTTAAGATAACTAACCTAGCAGCATCAAACAACTAACCTAGCAGCAAGAAAGAAATAACCTATCAACAAAAGACAACTAACCTAACAGCAAGAAAGAAATAACCTAGCAACAAAAGACAACTAACCTAGCAACAAAAGACAACTAACCTAGCAACTACAGATAACTAACCTAGCAACAAAAGACAACTAACCTAGCAGCAAGAAAGAAATAACCTAGCAACTTAAGACAACTAACCTAGCAGCATCAAACAACTAACCTAGCAGCAAGAAAGAAATAACCTAACAACAAAAGACAACTAACCTAGCAGCAAGAAACAAATAACCTAGCAACAGAAGACAACTAACCTAGCAGCATCAGACAACTAACCTAGCAGTAAGAAAGAACTAACCTAGCAACAAAAGACAACTAACCTAGCAGCAAGAAAAAAATAACCTAGCAACAAAAGACAACTAACCTAGCAAACAAACTCAACTAACCTAGCAGCTACAAATAACTAACCTAGCAACAAGACACAACTAACCTAGCAAGAAAGAAATAACATAACAAAAGACAAATGGTCAACGGTCAACGTCGGAAGTCAACGCCAGAGTCAACGGTCAACGCCAGAAGTCAACGATTTTCGCCGGAAGTCAACGGTCAACGTCGGAGTCAACGGTCAATGGTCATAATAATATTTAAATAATTAAAAATAAAGAATTATTATTTAAATCAAGATCTAAATCTTGTGGCTAGGAATGAGTCTCACGTCCTCACTTTAAATAATGGGATGCATTGGAACCAATCCCTATATATATAAAATAAATTTTTATGTATTTATTATAAATTACATATTTGGCCCAAGGTGTACATTGAAATATAAACAAATTATCTACATTTGCAATTAAACCCCTTAATCTTATCTAATTTACAAATTTGTGCCCCACAATTTAAGATGCAGCAAATCGCTGCTCTTCAGTCTTCACCATTCCAACTCCGCTCTATACGTGTCGTTTAGATTTGTCCGGTGAGGAATAGTCGGTGACGAATCGCAGGCTGTTGGCGGGGGGCGAAGGCTGAGATCTGTGGAGCTGGCGGCCATTGAATTTTTGACGTGTGTATTTTCAGACAACGTCGAAGGCTGGACGTTGAGGACAATCGGGTTTTAGACGATGATGGAGACTAAAATTGCAGGAGGAGAAAGTTTCGAATTTTTTGGCGGCGAGACTTATTTCAAAGAACACCACCGACTGGAAATAGCAGGGGGGAGTGCGGTGTTGATTGGAGAGTTGGCCGGAGTTTGTGATGCGGTGGTGGTGGCGACGGTGGGCGACGTTGTTAGGCGGAGGTCGAGATGTGTGTGTGGTGTGTGTTTCTCCCCGTCGAGGTGGAGAAGAAGCTGCAAGATGGCGGTGGCGGCTCCGTCGAGAGCGGTGGCGATTGGTGGTGCGTTTGCCGATGGACAACTGTTTGGGCTCTCGGAGGTGGCGGCTTGCCGGCGGCTGCTGTTCGTCGGCGGCAGTGTTGAAAATTGGATTGACGGGATGAGAGAGATAGAGTGTAGATATGTTGTGGTTGATTTAGGACGTGGGGCCCACTATTGTAATTTGGGTTGTTGGGTTGTGATGTGGGCCCCACTGATAGTATTAGTTTTAGTTAATGGGGATGTGTAAAATATCCATATTATCTTTAATGAGTATCAACATGTGAATTTTTTTAGCCATTAGATCATTTGATCCAATGGTCACGATGTATTCTTATTTCTTTCACTAAGATCCTTTCTCACTTGCACCCAACCCCCTACATATA